AAAGAGACACCAAATGTGTTCATTTTCACATTGTCTTGTGATCAATGACCTTGTCTCTGTATCCTTTATGTGCGCCCTCCATTTCCACACCACCACCCAGTATTTACAGCTTCATCATTCCAACTTCCAGTTCTTGGACACCAGTAGATGTGCAGCTATACTCAAATCAAACATCCTTTAATAACAATATTTCCCTGAAGAGTGAAAGTGACAAAGACATTACCACATCATCTAATAATAACCTGTACTTTTCACATTGAAATGTTGAATCTGATAATGTTACAGGAGTAAAATAAAGTAAATTGTTAATGGACTGCTGGTATATAGCACTGTTCTAGTCCTCAGACCACTCTTGCTCATGAGTACGGGGCAGGTGTGGATCAGTGGTAGAGTTGGTTGTCTCTCAACCGGAAGGTCAGAGGATCAATCCCCAGCTCCTGAAGCCACATATGTGATGTATCCTTGGGCAAGAAGCTTGCTTGCTTGCTTCCACTGCTTCATTGGCGGTGTGTGGATTTTTATGAATAGATTAGTTAATACTCATGGACACTTTGCTTAGAAGCCTCTGCCATCAGTGTGTGAATGGGTGTGAAGCTTTGAATAGTCAGAAGTACTATACAAGCTCAAGTCCATTTAATATTTATTGTGTTTAACACAATGTATCGTATTCATGTTTTCACACGAACATGCAAACACTGATGGCAGAGGCTGCTATGCAAAGTGCCAATCTGGCCATCAGGATTAAACTAATCTCATTAAGATAACCACAATGCATTCGGGAGCAATTTGACGTTCGGGGTCTTGGAAAGGAAACTTCACGTTGTTGACTGCAAAAAGCTGGGTTTTCCAGTCCTCAGATGTTGGGAGATGACCTGCTCTCACATGGAGCTATAGCCATATGGTTGTCCTCTTTCCATTTCTTCTTTAAGGCGAGATTATAAATAGCCACTGGACTTCCATCACAGCAGACATAAAATCTAACAGGAACCCATCAGTCTAATTGTGTTGTAAGTGAGGTTTCATCATCCTGTAATGTATTTAATGAGCCCATCAAGGTCAGATTTTAGCCACCCTGGAACAACAAGGAGTAAGTGGTGCTTGTGAAAATAAACAAAGCTCAACTATTATCTCTCATCACCCTCAACCATCAGACAAGACCCTCCAGAACAACAACCTCAGCAGCTTGATTAGCAGCAAGCTTCAGACGCTTGCCAATCACATCCTTCAATCACTTTCAAGTTGCGCCAGAAGGCTCTTTCCAACATGACTCAGATGATTACTTTGGGCATGGGTGAAAAGTAACAACAGGAAGAACTGTGGTATTAATTTCAAGAAAGAACAATTGCTTGCTCATTTTTGGGAGACATTTTAAAACCACAAAACAGAATATTAAATCTCTGCTATCGCTGTTTGTCGACGACACTCTTCTATTTCCATCAATGCAGAGCCTGAAACTTCACTTACATTGCATTCAAATATCACCTACCATTTTTATTAGTTACTTATCTAATGAAACAGCAGGTATGTTTTTTTAATAGAAATATTAAAATATGACTCATAACTTGTCCTACAATTCTCTATAACCTGCAGCATATTTTGGTTTCCCTTTGCAAACCTTGATCCATCCAGCTGTATTGTCAGACTGACAGCTGCAGTGCAAATCAAATGATCTTCTCTGAAGCCACTGAAAGGCCGTCAGAATATTAATAAAGAAAAACAATATTCTCGGTTTGCTGGTTTCAGAAACAACTTCTCCCAAGGAAAAGAGGGAAAAATAAGCAACACTGAGGATTAGCATCTGACTTTGCTTTTGTATCACTAGAAGGGCAAAGTAGAGATCTGTCATGAATGGTTAAAACATTCAAGCACTGTATGACATATCTGTCATACATCTGATCTCCATTTTCTTTTTTATAGATTGCTCCAAATACACCGGCTTCTTTCCCCTGGTTCTCTTCTTTTTTTAACTAATGGTGTCTATACTTTCAGCCACTGTCTTTCTGTGAAGTATTTAAGCAGCCATCATAGTGTCTCTCTCTCTCTCTGAATAGAACAGAGGTTGTTATGTCATACCAACAAAATTAGCAACCTTCTATGCAGATTGATGCATATTTCAATTATTGTGTTGGCTGGCTCAAATACATGACAGCCTGCGCATAAAGTCAACCGTCAGTATGGGATTCAGCTTGTCTAATAAAGCCAACACAAGTGCTCTGTATGCACCTGAACCCCTCATCCTATACCCATAAGTTTCCCGGGCTCTGCTGGATAAGTGGACATACTTTTAAGATAGCTCATCTGCTGGTTTTGCTGATGTTTTAGAGTACACTGCCTGACAGGTTGTCCAATATCTCCTGCAGTTTTTTAATTGGTTTGACATATGATTGCAAAGGCCATGGCACATGTGTCATTGCAATTTCATTTCTATCGAACCAGTCAGTAGGCTTCTGTGGATTAATGGGCTTTATGTCAGGGATGGGATTTCATGTTTGAACAAAAACAAGGTAGTGTCTCAATATTGAAATACTGCATGTGCATTCACATAAACCAACAAGACAGTCCTGTTGAAGGCTTACATAAAATTATATGTTTCTATGTATAAATGAGATGCCGTTATCTATGTTTTAACAGATTTTGTATTTTAGTGAATGTGTAACTTCCAGATAGTATTGAGTTAAGTGGGGCGTCAAGAACGTCTTTGATGTTAGAACAAATAAAGCAGAAACTCTATTTAAATGCTGTTAACAGGTAACAGGTGGAACCTTGCAGACATCATGTGAATCTGTAGCACAGGTGACATAAGACAGGTTCAGTCTTTAGCCTGAGTTGTTTTGAATGACTTAAAATGGGATGAAGCTGTACTGGATTCACACTGCAAGGTACACACTGACTGTAAGAACACGCGATATGAGATCAGACTCATATTTAAGACTTTTCTGGAGAAGTCACCAGACAATTTGAGGTACACTTTGCCTGTGCTGGTCAAACAGTCTTCTCCAAAATCAGTTTGGTCAGATTCTGGGTTAGCAGCACTGGCATAACCTGCCCTATGATAATGTTTAACTTTGTGCAGCAGCTAGAGCTGTATCATCTCTCCTCATCTGCAGCCTTATCTTGTTCTACACTGAAATCCACATACTTTCCATCGTCTAGATTAAAGGTTTTGTTTCTGTTTGCTGCAGGTTTTATTGAGATTCTTTGTTTTTATTAATCAAATGTCTTACCTAAAGATTTAAGCAAACAAACATGCCCACATGTCTTTACCAAGTCCCATAAATTTTACAATTCACTTAGCAGACGCTTTTATCCAAAGCAACGTACATCAGAGAGTAAGTACAACACAAGCAAGGATCTAGAAAAAAGGGAACAATGTCAGTGAGAGCAGACGATCAGCTTTGAGTCCAATTGGACACACAGGTGCTGACAGGCATTGCACAGAGGCAAAGCACAACATTGACGGCAGTTCTTGAGAGCTCTAATCAGTATAGAAACCATCTTATAAGTCATCGTTATCAACAAAAACCATTGTCACAAGATCATCATCATCAATAATATCTAGACCATCATCTAAAAAATAAAGAAAGAAAACTAAAATACTACATTAATGCACTGGTTTAAAAAAAGACAAAACCAAAGCTACTGAAGAAACCCACATGGCTAAATAAAAAGCCAGTATTAAAAAAAATACTAAGAGTTCAACTTTTGATAAATACCCTTGATAAATACACATTGTCAAATATTTATAACTAAATTCAAACTTACATACTATACATACTTTCTAAAGCACTAGCATTAGGATGGCAGCAGATTAACTTCCGGTGTTCTGGTTGGCTGGGATTACTTGAGCTTTCTTCTTCTTTTTGTTTAATGGTTGGTTGCTTTTATAGTTTTAAACAATTATTTATATCAACCTGAGCTTTAACTTCCTCTTTCCTGATTACATAGGGAAATTGTGTCAAAAAGCATAAAAAATGAACACTTATACTACAGAGGGCTCCAGATTAGTGCAGAAATTAAAAGCAGATGGGAGAAAACATAACTGTATCAGTTGTGTTTGGCTCACTATCTCATTAATGATAACAGAATCCTTGTTGTGGCAAGAAACACAAGATGTTTTTTTTTTTATCTACTCCTGAGATGTTTTTCTTTTATCAATAGTAACAACTAAACAAGTGTTCTGACTCAGCTGCATATAATGGTTATGCAGTCTCCATTAGCTAAATGTCTTACCCTGACTAAAATTGATTCTTGTTTATCATGCAGGTGGACACACGTACACTGATGATATAACGACTGATCTCAGGAGGTTAACATTTCATCTACTTTTGAACATGTTATGCAAGCGTTGTAAATTGGCCATTTAGCCAGAAAAGCAGGATCCCATAATGATATGACTCACAGGAGCATTTTTAGGTTGATATATAGTGCCCTCCTGTGTTTAAATAGTGAAACACACACACACACACACACACACACACACACACACACACACACACACACACACACACACACACACAACAACATAAAATTTTATTGTGTGTGTGTGTGTGTGTGTGTGTGTGTGTGTGTGTGTGTGTGTGTGTGTGTGTGTGTGTGTGTGTGTGTGTGTGTGTGTGTGTGTGTGTGTCTCTTTAAATGCATTGAGCCCCCCCCTGAATTTTCCCGGTAGACATCACTCCTCTGTAGCGAGAATAAAAATGGCAGACCTGCAAAAAAGTTTTGTTCTAGGCTGGGGATGGAGTCCATAGGTGGAAATATCAGGGGTGGGGAGGTTATTTTTTTGACCAGAATCCCACTGTGATGTCACAAATTGAGCAAATTCAAAACGGATAATTTTTCTCAGTGTTGTAAGACTTATGCAGACTACAAACAAAGGACTGGATGGATTTATTTCACATTTCGTGGGTCAGTAGACACTCAGGTTACGCACATATATGTTCAAAAAACACTGTCAAAGTGGATTTTTCATAATATGTCCCAGATGATAATAAAAATAGAACTTCATCTTCAAATTATTTTATTGTAGTTGTCATCACATTTAAAAAGCATCTTGTTTTTTTGTTTTTTTAAAGGTAGTCACAGGACAGCCCAGGCCAGTCATTTCTGTCTTGATAAATACGCTCGGTGAGGCAGCAGGCGTGTAAGCCACAAAGTGACACTGAGTATGATTCAGACGTTTCTCACACGTAGGAACTGAGTGTACTTTTATGATACCTCAGACTACCTTAGAACTAGAAGACAAGTGAACAATAGGGAAATGAGAAAAAAAACACATCAGCCAACAAAAAAAAAACTAAACAGGGTGTCTATTTATTTTATTGTGTTACTCCCTTCTATTCTGCTGTCTCCTCAAAGATCTGCTCTCTCATGTAACTTAACCATATTGTCTTTTACATTGATACACTAACCAATAGCCCTGCTTGTCTGGTTACTTAGCAAATATAACTCTGCGTGTGGCTTATAATACACTGTGTGTTTAAAGATGCACAGTTTATCTAAAGCCTCAAAACTAAACTTTTAGTATAACAGAACAAGTTGTCATAAAAACTATTTGTCTGAGTACAAAAGTAGACTGTGCTATAACATTGTTGCTATTGTGTGATAACATGGTTATTACTCAGACAAATGCCTGTTGAGCCTGAATTTTAATTTATTTTAATAAGTAACAAGCTGCACAAAAACATTAAACATTACGTTGATAGTGTACAAGGGAGTGATACATGCTAGCTACTCTAGAATTACTTTGCACTTTTGTAATTTTCTTATGACGGCACGATGGAATTCACAATAAAACGCATGAAATGTGACTCATCCTACAGACGTCACTGTTACTTTCCACTCTTCGACACCGTCTGCACTGCCTTGATCCAGTCCTTTCTCTCCTCAGATGTGGCAGCCTGGAGGAAGTAGTGCGTCTCATCCGAGGTAATGATCTCAAAGAGGTTGCCGTCAATGTCGTATTTTTTGGCTGAAATCACAATGGGGGGAAAAAAAAAACAGAAAAAGAGACTAAAGAGATGATTTAAACATAAAAGACAGTACATGGAATAAAATGTCCTCGTCCCTGTGTGTCACTGTGTGTCACACAGAGAGCAACAAGGGCGTGTGCATCTTATGACAATGGCCTCACTTACCATCAGGCACGTACTCCACAGCCGTGACAACAGACCCACGGAGATGAATCGAGCCCAGAGGGTCATCACCCTGGTGATATAGAGAACGAAACACACAAAATACAAATCTTCAGTGACTTACAGACATTGTCATTTACATTTTCTTTCATTTTTCAATTCAGAGTATGTACCTTTGTTGGATCATAATAGTGCATATAAGCAGGGTCATCCCTCAATATGAACTTTCGAACCTTCCAGTTTCTTCTCCTATGTCCCTGTGAGAAAAAGAAAACACAACACTTCTCAACTTTCTTAACTGCAACAGCCCTCGACATCAAGCCTACTCAGTAAATGTAACTTCCTCTTTCAAACCCTACAAATAACTTCCTAAATTCAAACGACTTCAGAATCAGAATCGGGTTTTATTGCCAAGTACATTTACACATACAAGGAATTTGACTTGGTTTATTGGTGCTAAACAATTAACAACGAAATAAAACAGAACTAGCAACAACTTAAATAATACAGTATAAGAAGATATTACAATATATAAAATAGAATTTAAAAAATCTAAAATCTAAAAAATAAAAAACACAAAATGTACAAAAGGTGCAATGTAGGAGCTGTGCAGTGGACTATGAGAACAAATCTTACAGTGTGTGTAACCTACTCACAGAGTGCATGTAAGGAAAATACATTTTAAGTCCAGTGGGCGTTAATGTAACTTAAAGTTTCCTCACTTTCCTCACAAGACAGCTGTGTGTAATTTTGGAATACCTGCTGTGACCGTGGGGGTAACTTGAAGAAGGGAACACAATGTTTCTACTTTGATGTGCAACATTAACACAGTGTCACTGTGGCTTGATTTCTGACTCACCTGCTTGAGTAAACAGCCCTGTTTTATGATGTTTCCTCTGAATTCTTCCTTCAAAAGCACATCTTCATCACTTGAGTAGCCCTCGCAGAAGAAGCCGCTGTCTGCCTGCAAGAAAGCACAGACAAGGAAACAAATCACTGGCTGTATCAATACATGTAATTTATTATTCAGACCCTCGGCCTTACCAACATTCATCTCCCTGTAAAAACAGGATTTAACTTCATATTGAAGACATCATTCTCAGAGTGATACCTTTTTGACACTTACAAAGTAATATAGCGCTTCTGTCTGATCTAAGAAGGCTGTTTGCTCTCCACTCTCTGCTCCCTCTTTTGACAGGTCACTAGCCGGCAGGAGAAAACCCTCGTTCATGAGCCCTGCTGCTAACATGAGAGCCTCAGGCCTGTTTCTCACTTTGTTCTTCGAGATCAGCCACTCTACCACTGTAGCACCTGTGCAAGAAGAGGGCAGGAGCAAAAACAAACGTTTTGACTGTCTGAGGGGATATTAGAAAAGCTTCCAAACCTGTAACATTGCAAAAAGAAAGAAAGCAATACCTGTGAAGCAGTGGTTGAAAACATGATTCTCCTGCTCCAATTTTAGCTCCCTCACTCCATCATCCTGGTCTTTCATTAATGTGTACAGCTCACTGAAAAACAGCACAATGTGAAACTGTCAAAATATATCGCCACATTAAAATCCTCTCATCAAACACGTGATTGATCGTTTACTAAATCCCTGCCCAAAATGGAGATTATCCAATCGTGAATTTGCAAACATGGAATAGTACTGCCTTGACAAGCTTCACATTTAGTCCACACGCTGAACAACAATGCTAGCTTTATTGAATTAGCCTACCTGTAAAACAAAGTGTGTTGCTCTATTACCCTCCAAAACACTTTACAGCAAGGTTTCTTGTCTGCAACAGATTGTTTTCTTCTCATTCAGAGTTAGCTAGCTAGCTAACTGTAGCTGATAAAATCAAACGACGACAGTTTAGCCAGTCAACTGCAAGAACTAGAGATTTCAGGCTTGACAGAAAGGTGTGAATACAATAACATGAATAAAATAACAAAGCGCAGGATTAAACTGAATAATCCTTTGAATAAAGTCAAGGTGTAAAGATTTATTTCCACCACCAAGAAGAATTGAAAGAAACATACGCCAGGTTGACTTGGTCGGGCAGGCGAATGGAGCGCCTTGTTGATCTCCTGGCAAACTTTTTTCCTGCTTCAAGGCAGGTAATGGCTCTCTTGATGTCCTTGACCCAGCACTCTCTCTCTTCCACATGTGAGGCTTGGAAGAAGTGATCCTGCTTTTTCTCCGAGGTTATCTTGAAAACATGCTAAAGACGGTATACTATGTCAGGCATGCTGTCAAATTTTCTTTTTTTTCTGCGGATATTTAAATCAACATTACATTCTACTTTTTAAAAATGATTATATTACATCTTTTGAGTTAATTAAATCCCCTTTATTCTTAAACAATAATCGTAGGCTTGACATTTTGAGACTGCCACTAAGTGCTTTTTTCATAATTTTTCAGCGGTAGCTCAGATTTGTCTGCAGGTGTATCTGACATTTTCTCACCATCCGCTTTCCGAAATCCTGACAGGGACTGTTGAGCGTAGCTTGCTTCAGCGGAATCATTCCTTTTGGAGAACGGTCTGTTTTCTTTTTATAGAACTCCAACGCATCTTCTGACAGCACCACCCACACTGCCTTCCAGGAGTTTAGCACTGTACCCTGAGGATCAGTGAGATGGATAATAACAGGAAGCAAAAGTGAGCAAAAGTGTTAAAGTATAGGTTGTATGATGGAGTTGTTTCAGAGGGAATTCTATAATGACTGGAAACACACAGATTTAGATTTAATCCTATTCAAACGATCCCTTTTCCAAATTTAACCAAGAGGAATTGTACCATACATCAAGCATCTTCATTTTAAATGGTGACCTTCAAATCCCAGGCAGCATGCAGGGCTTTTGAAGGTCACCAGTCACTGCAAAATAACAAAGCTGGACATAAAAAGAAGATTTAACATTTTGGAAGATGATGCAACATCAAAAATACACAAATAAAATGTTATTTTCAAATGACTGTTACTTTTGCTTTGTGCATGGAAACATGAAGTGAAAGAGTATGCAGGCTTAAAAAGATAAATAAGTTATTCACTGACTGCCTACTGCTTGCCACTTGCATGAAAATGCAGAAATGAATGTGCAAGTAAAGGCAGTAGTTCTGGTAACACATTAGGGGAATAGAAATCACTGGAATTGGAAACCACCTGCTGTAACAAATTGAATTTGTGTTTATATTTGTTCCCTTTCACCTGCTTTGGTTTTGAACAAACTTCCATGCCCTGTTGGGTTTGCAGTGGGCTCAGCTCCTGCCATTCCCTCAGGGAATGAAAGAATGTAGTTTCACTATTGTGACTTTTTTTTTAGCAAAGAAGGTGTGCTTTTTCCGCAATGTGTTTTTGCTGTGAAAGGCATGATGTGTGAAATCAACCACAATATAGTGTCGGGAAATCAGCTTCTACCTCCTGGTAATTTGTCGTTCTCCATCTTGTCATTTATTAACTCTGTTTGTCTGTAAAACCCTGCTGCTCGCTTACACTACCAAACAGCGACGAGTTTACCTAAAATCTCTCATCAAGGGCTACACTCCCTCCCGCCGATGAACTCTGTTTGATCTGCAGTCTCTTTGCAACCTTTAAGAAAAGTGCGAAGGTTTCATGAACACCTTCGCACTTAATGATGATGATGAAGACTTAAAACTGTTTGCTTACTGACGTTGTTTCCTCTTTTCTAGATCCTTGCTTGTGTTGTACTTACTCTCTGATGTACGTCGCTTTTGATAAAAGTGTCTGCTAAGTGAATTGTAGAATTGTGTGTGTCAGGGTATTAAACTATTATTCCATAAATAACAGAATTGACTACTTTTTACATCATTTCTTTATACTTCCATTTTATTTGTATCTTATCTATTCTGTCTCAATTTGTCAAATCACGAGTATTTCTTGCCTTCTCCTTTCAATGTTGGAATGCAGTCTTTTTTTTATTCATACCATAAAGAAATATTAGAAAATTAAAACACAGCTTTTCTTCCCATTTCACAGAGAAATTCGATGAAGATCTCTCAAGATCTTACATACACCACTTTTGAATGAAAATGATTGAAAGCGCCTTAGCCATCTTAAGTTATAAAAATGATGCACAGCTATCTTGTTTTATAGCACCTTTAGTGTCGTCACACTATCAATGATAAATGAAAAATAGCTTGATCATCACTAAACATTAAATGAACAAAATAAAGGATGATGTATTTACTGTCACGATCACTTTACAATGAAGGACAAACTAAAAAAAACATAATTCTTCAAAGACAAACGTGAGAAAAAAGCTGATTACTTTGATGCAGTTTATGTGTTTGTGTTTGGTATGCAAAGTGAGTAAAGAAGAAAAGTCACAGTTGGCAAGACCGAGAGAAACATGTGGTTTAGCACTTTCAGAGTGAAATGAAAAACTCTCACCACACTTTAAAAAGATAAGATAATGGAAGGTGCAGGAAATGGCTTCCACGTTTTAGTTCATACGTAGCTGCTCTCGGTCTGTTGTTGAGTATATTCATGGCATACAGCAAAGGACATGTTTTGTTTCATATTCTATCGTCTCTTCTAGGAAAGCTTTGCCTAAAACAGTGTCGCTCACCCAACAAAACACATTTCATATCATGCTTTCTTGTTTTAGGCAGAAGCAGGAAGTTTTTGGTGCGACTGAAGAAGTGGAGTGTTTATTAATGTACAACGTTCCTCTGGGGAACTGGTTTATGTTCCCCAAATGCTGCTGTTTGTATTGTCCAGACTTTTTTGTTGCTGAAATTTTCCTCTTTATTTTGGTCAAAGTTTGATTGACAGATCGACAAGGACGCCTCTATTCATTGTCTCTGTTAAAAAAAGTGGTTCTTAATCAATGTTTGCAATTATATTCTGTGACGCAAACTTTTGTTGCAATTGACTTTGCCATTTTATGCTTTTTACCGTTTTTATCTAGCAGTCAAGTAAATCAACCTGGACAGTTTGACATTTATACAATGCAGAGCTACAGAAAAACATGTGTATTAAACGGATTATTTTTCATGTAAATGTCATTTTGCACTCTTTTTTCATGGTTATATTTCAAATCAATAAGAACTCAGTTTGTTACTACAAAGCCAAACCTCCACGTCTCTTAGATTCAGACTAGCTACACTTGTTACTTCTGTTTGTTTTAATAGATAATTCACAGTTTAAATTGGAAAAAAAAAAAAAATAGATAAGTACAAGTGCACTGCTACTAAACTGCTAATGATTTGGATATTTTGTCCTGCTGTAGATTTCTTACCTTTTTCACAAGGTATCCCTCTCTGATCTGTTGCGGCTCCATTGCCCTGCTGCCCTTCTCTCTGCTTCAGTCTATTTAAACTTTTTGTCACTTTTTGAGTGACTGACAAAGACACTTCCCACCCACCCAATCTGCCTCCCTTCCCCTCCCCCTCCCTCTCTTGAAACCACCAAAAGACCAACAGACACACAAGCAGGAAGTTGCTTGGGTGTGTAACAAATATGAGTGGACAGTAAGCTTCCTCTTCCGTGTGGTATTATTAGGCAAATTACTGTTCGGCTGCGGTCTTACGTTATAATTATAAATATGTAACAACAGCACAGAGAGTAAATAGAGGACATTTCTCGGCAGTGAAAGTATCTCTTTAAATTTGCGATGTGCAGTTGATCAAAAACAGAACCGACTCCCTGGTGTGTTGCGAAAGGCACGAGACACAAACTTCTTCACCATATTGCAGTTTTCCTGTACATGCTGACTCTATATTCAGCTGCAGTATGACTAACTATGAGTATGAATTAGTAATGTTTGGCTACATCACACCAGCTGACCTTTGCTCAGGTGACCTATGTTTGCTTGTAAAAAAAAAAAAAAAAGTTCCTCTTCCCTAATTGCTCAATGTGGCTGAGGCGAGCTGTAGTTGCACTGAATTTGGCACAAAGACTTGGAAGAAATAAATCGAACGCATTGATTCACTGAACAAAATGTTTGTTACAGTACAGTCTATACACCATTAGAATTACTGGACTGTAAGAGTTTCAACAGCATTCATCAGAGTTAACTCACGCCTTATCGAGCATGTGTCACAGTCATGTAGTGTGACAGCCATGTAGTGTCACAGCGTGGAGACATTTCTCGACATGAAAGGAAGTGTGGTTATCTGAGCTGTCAACTCCCATCAACGCCATGAGCCAGCTGTGTGTGTCAGTGGAAGAACTCGAGGTTTCACAATGAGATGACTGGCAGAGGAGAAACACTGGGTGCTCTGTGACAGAATGACAGCAGTTGGAGGTATTTTGGAAGATAGCAGAACCAATACCTACAGAGTCGTTATTGTACAATTTTAACTTTCAATATATGCTAAAACAACTGTATGCATTTTACTTGTTTTAACGTCTGTGTCCACATGTACAAAAATTATTTACACATGACAAACTAAGGTGTGTGTGTGTGTATGTGTGTGTGTGTGTGTGTGTGTGTGTGTGTGTGTATATATATATATATATATATACACACACACACACACACACACACACACACACACACACACACACACACACACACACACGGCTGCTGCCTTAAACCGTTTTATCATCAAATGAGAAGACCCCCTGTGGATGCTCATCAGCCTAATCCAGTGTTTTTCAAAGCGGGGATCCTGAATGAATAACGATTATAAATAATAATGATTTTTAATGGTTAATACAAACAAGGAAACTTATTGTTTTTATATTTTTGATAGTTAGCTACAAGGAATTTTAGAAAAAGGGCATCCGAGCCAGAGACTTATGCTATATTGCGATCCTTGTCTCCCTGGTCTCCATGCAAAAAAAAAAAATCAGAAATCTCCTGCTTTCCAAAACAAAGCAAAAATATCGAAAATAAAGTAAAAAAAAATACATTGAATACAAAAACCTGAAAAAATCTGATGTTATCTTCTTAAGCTAGCTGTTAGCTAAGCTGTCGCTTGTCTGTTGATGTTTATGAGTTTTAACTGTGAGCTCAATCAGTCACCGAGACCAAACAGATAAGCTTGCTTAACATCTGCAATTAAAGCAATTTCCCACCTGAAATAGTGCTGGTAAGGCTTCTAACTGAACTGCCGCTAACTTTAGCTCACTAGCTAACCAAAAGACATCAGTTTAAATGGTAAACTCAAAATATGCAATGACTGGAATTGAAAGACCAAGAGAGTGTTTGTGCCAAGCCTACAGACAGTGTTCAAGAAAAACTCTGAGATGAGTCTTACAGATGAAACATGAGAACTAGTATTAGATACTAACATTAGAAATGATTTTTTTGTTGAGCTGACCCACACAAAATGAACAGTCTTAACCTCACATTTAACAGCCAATATGATGACAATTGCATTTCCTCAGTTGTTTTTATCCCGTGTCTCTCATATCAAAGATATCTTGATACCAGAGGCATCACTTAGACTCCAGATTATTTGTCTTGTATTTGTTACACCATCACAGGAATGTCAAGGAGCAACATCAGTATTAACAGTTTAAATGCAATGTTGTTAATATTCCTCTAGAGGGCCCTGTAAACACAAAGAAAGTGGGCTGTTCAGCATTCAGGGGCAACATCTGCTCTAAAAGGAGAAAGAGAAAGAGAAAGAGAAAGGCCATAGAAGGAAATGATCGGTCAGCAACATAAATGTCATGATAAGAATAGGTGAAAAAAACTTTACAAGAGTAAAGTTTGTTGCCGTTGGTTAAATTCACCATGCTTGGGTTTTGAAATCATTCATTTTCATATCTACATAATTTAAGCAACTGGAGCACAAAAACAAGCTGATAGAATTATTCATGAAGTATCTAATGTGTCCTAATCCATCTAATGGAAAGAGCTCCGTGCCTCACTTTAATCAACCAGTGTTTTCATGATAATGCTATACTATTAAGAGTCACCTTCTGATGATGATCTCATTTCTATAAACACAGATCATGGGACATGCCGTCCTCTACGACCGTTGCATTCATCAAACAGGGACACTAACCATACTGTTAGTCTGTCTGCTTTGAATCATGCTCTTCTCTTGCAGTGAATAAACATCAAGAGAGCGGGTGTTTATGAGTGCAGTGATGGATCTTCGGGCAGAGAGTTTCAATAACTGCCAACGACAGAGTTATATCTCTGAGGCTCAGGGTATGGAATAATAATTTCTATCAAAAACAAAGATGGAAGCGAGTACACGACATAAACATTTGTAATCTTTTAATCCAATTAAGTACAGCCGTCAAGGGCGTCTTCAGAAAGAAATCTAAACGTACGTATGTCCTTGTGGCTGTCTGCATTCATCAACCAATCAAAAAAGAAAAACATCTCTATGTCCTTCTACAAAGGCCAGAAAGTCAGTGAACCTTTTTTTCTTTACAACATTAAAGCAAACAGCAAAAAGAAAAGGAGGCTAGAAGTTATATATAGAACTAATATGTAAGAAAAATACATAAATTCCTTCATATATCATGTTATATCAGTCTCTCCCTGAGTTGCTGAGACTTGGTTCACAAGATTGGGAACAATATGGGGTCACAGTGACTTTGAACTTTGACTGTTACAACTACAATCTAGTCAGTGCAACTTTGACTCTTTTTGAACTGGGGTCAACTGATATCCCCTCAAGGCGTTCCTGAGATTTCACAGTCACAGAAATGGAACTGGAATAATGCTCAGGAAAGTGCATTTTAGCAACATAATGAGGTCATAAATTAGTTGTAATTTGTCTTTAAAATTTATATAACTTCAGAATTGTCATCCTATTGAAACTATTTTCATGGGAGTGTTAATGGTCTATAGTGATAAGGTTGAACCTCACGTACAGAGACTAATAGTCCTCCAAGCGGGTGGCCCAGGTTCAAGTCCGACCTGTGAATACTTTCCTGGATGTCCTTCCCCACTCTCTCTCCCCGGTTTCTGATTCTATCCACTATCCTATCAAATAAAGGCAAAAGCCCAAATACATATATATTGTGACTGTGGCATAATAGGCACAGAGTTATTGAGTTAGTGTGAGTTTCTCAAAAATGCTCTTTGTGTCCTAAAGCCATATACAAACGGCGATTTCTGTGTAGTTTTCAGTCATCAAGGTCAAAGTAAATTCAAAGCTTGATGCAAAGGCAACTGGACTGCAGATCTCGAATATGTTTCACCTCTCTTCTGAAAGGCTTCTTCAGTTCACACCTTTCTGGTGGACGGAGCTAGAAATGTAATCCTGTGTGGCTATACTGACATTCTGCCTACTTCATACTCAAGTAGTTTAATCGGTCAAAGATCTTCATGACATCATTCTCTTCATCCTGTTAGAATGAAATAGGTAAGTCTCAAAAAATTAGCCCATGAATTGTCTTTTTCTGGCAAGCACAATACACTATACACATCAAATATTTCAGTTACGCTAACCCGTGACCTTACCCAATAAAATCTAACCATTATAAACCTATTCAGTTCTTCCTTTAGAGTAAATGCATGGTATGAAGTCATTCGTTTCTGAGAGATCAGGTCCACATAAAGGCATGATTACAAAAGCCAACAGAAAAAACTGACAACCAAAACGTTCTTTTTACTGAAATAATGTGTCTGTTTTTCCATCGTGCACACTCTTTTTTTTAATCTACAAATAGAGCGTAAAGCAGTATTATGATGATGTACGTCCTGGGAATAGAAAGAGGAAACAGATCTGTCAGGATTCAGCTACAAGAGGAGTCATGTAAGGTACTGTAAGCATGATGAAACCAAGGAAACAGGACAGCTTCACACAAAAACCACACCCGCTCCCTCTTCTCCAATCTCACAAACCCTTTCCCACCTGAAATGACCTTTTAACATCCATGTCAACCGCCTGCCAGGAGCACTTATGTACGTAATGTACCATGACTATTATTATAATACAGTGGAAGTTTCTACATGATACATAAAAAGGTTCCGTGGAGGCTCCTGGTGGGGTCAACAGAGTTTGAAACATGTAGAATTGAAATCCTGTAGGGAGTGCAAATCCAGACCTTTTGTTGCACCTCATCCCCACATCCCTCCAACTTTTTTTTATGTAACACTGTCATACTTTGAAGTAAAAAGGTGAAACTTCTCTTCTCTACCAAGAAGTCAGAGTTCAATCAGTATTCGCCCCCCCCCAAAAAAAAACGGAGTAAAACTTTTGCACATATTGGAAATCTTGATTTAACACAGAAAGCAGCTGTTAACTAGAACTAAGTGGTCCATTTATCTGATAAAGACAAAGATATTTCCTTCAGGAGTTGGTTCAGTAAAAAGAGGAGATTGAACACCTACCAGGTGGCCAGAGGCAGGGCTGGAAATGAATACTAATAGTGCTTGTTATCTGCAGGATTTAAAACTGTTAAGTAAAGCAACAAAGGATGATGGTCCAT